TATTTTATGTAAATGCTCATAGAACTAACTATGGACAGAATTTATTTGTAGATCAACTGATGTCCAATTACAATAAGTATTTTTCAAATTATGACATTTTAAAAGGTTTATTTTTTAAAGTGTCAACTTTTATTACACTATTGACTTCATTTTTATACTGTGACAATTTTATTAATTTCTTTTTTATTTTATTTTGATATTTTAACCATTTAGAACTTTATATATCAGTAGCGTACTGTAAACAAATAAATATGTGAACTTAATTACATAGTTTCTTCCGTAAAAATAACTTTGTAGATAATAAATTTACTTGTTTAATTATTATTAAGAAAATAATATATATATAAAGAAAATAAAAAATATGCTCGTTTAAATCGTTGCACCTATTTTTAGTTGATTTTTACTTACTTTGTTTTTTAAACAAATAATAACATTTATTTTGACTTTTACAAATTTTATACTTAATAATGGATGTTCAACTTATACAGAACAATGTTTTTTAGCATGATATTCTGCTCTGAAAGAAAAAGAAATAATATCAGATGTTATATATTCTTCTTCAACCAATTCTGTATTAACTTTAGCTTCTAAAATTCCTGAGATTTTTACTAGAATTATAATCCAGCCCAAAGGAAACCTAAAACACAATATTTTTAAAATTTATTTTTAGTGATTAAAATATTATTACACTAGGGCGACCATACTTACAGCAATTTTTCTGTATTGTAAAGCATTTTTAAAGTTTGTCCAGCAATTGGTATTGTGCAGCAAACGTACAGCAAAATGGCATAGGTATATATATCCAGTGAAATGCTGTATTTATCCACCAAAACGTCACTACTGTCCAGCAATGGTAATACTTAATTTACTGAAACGTAACAAATTTAAATGTTATTTATCTTTAGTGAACTACATGAGCACTTCTATACTGCGGTTCTAGCAAGAAAGGTTTTATCTGCAAAATTAGCAGTTTTTTTTATGTGCATTTGTCTACATTTTATCTTTCTCGATACTGAAAAGGAATGTCTTATTTGTAACAAAGGTACTAAAATGTTAAAAAGTTACACAAAAAAAGGTTTAAAAGATAATAAATATAAATTTTCAGATAGGACTTCTCTTGTTAGGATGGCAGTATATGACTTCTCTGTTTTTGTATTTTTATAATTGGAAGTAGGGTTGAGTATCGGTCAAAGGTATCAATACCGGTATCATGTGAGATACTTTGTGGTAGAGGCATCGATACTGTTCGATATTATGTTAAAGATATTGATATTTATAAGTCTCGAGTAACAAAGTATCGAAAAAGTAAAAGATTTTTGTTAAACGGCTGGCAACCCCCATTCAACAGGACGGAGTAGGGAACTTAACTAATAACAAGAGTGCATCAGTAAAGTATATTCTGTAGTCGACACCTTTTCTTTCTCTACTGGTACTCTACCTGGTACAAGTTATAGTGTCAATAACTGGCAATTTACCTTATAATTAAATAACAAAAAAACAGTGGTAACGCTTAATCATATTACCAAGTTTCACCACATGCAAAAACTAAAATATTTCAGTACAAATATTTGAACAAACCTTATAATCTCTGACCACACACATAGCGATACAATACTTGCTTCTAAGTATCACTATGGCGATAGTATTGTTAATTCAGTAATTCAGTGCCTAAATATCGATACTTTCATTGTTTAATATCGTTACTTCTATAGTATTAAGGCATCAATAAGATCCCTATTATCGTGTAAAATAAATATTTCATCATTTAATTGTATCTACTTGTTTACAATGATTTATTTTTGATTGTATTTGGAAATTGAAATTTTGCCATCCAAAACAACAAACAATAAATTAGAAAATTTATTGAAAAGAAGAAAACAACTTACCAAACTTATTCAAACGTATAGTTTCCAATTTCTTTAAAATCTGAAATACGAAATACGTACAAGAAAAAGTGACAAGTGACATTTTTTTATGTTTTGTTGGTTATGACAAACGAATGGCTACGTTCGAAAGTCCATAGTACTTCTCGTGGAAACTTTTTTAGCAAGTTACTTAATTACGTTGTGTTATCATAACAGGCAGGTTAAATACGTAAGTAACAAATAGATGTTTCGCGAGGTTTTGATTTCCCTCAACAACTTCTCATTAACGTTGCAATTACGTTGTATGGGTATGTTATTATGTTCCCTTAAAACAACATCGCCGAAAGGCTTGGTAACGTTATGTGCTAGCTGGGTATTGTGGCTAATTTGCTGTTAACCCATAGTTAATACGCTACATAACACTGCATATCAACATTATATCATTACTAAATTTTGACTTAATGATATTGTAGGTCCTTTTAACTCAAGTTCTAATTTTTACCCATATTTTTTAATTTAAAGTGAACTATTCATATATTGTGGAAGTAATGTTAGCTCATTATGCTAAATTAGGATTATCTCTATTGTAGTAGATGGTGTTTTAAATGTGAATTAACAATTTTGTAAATAGGTTTATTATCAAATAAATAAAATTTACTTGAATATTTAGTTACTTTTTAATCAGTTTGGTCAGAAATTTATCAAGTTTTAGTTTTAAAAAATCAGGGCTACGGTCGATATTAGGTCCAGTAATTTTGTCACTTTTTCCATAAAGATTAAGTAAAACCATAATATTTTTACACTTTTTAATCTTCTATAAGTGTGCACTAACCTAATTAAAGTAACAAATATTATTAAAACACATTTGTAAGCTAAAAAGTTAAGAATATGCATTTATTCACTACATTCTCACGTAGCCATATTGTTTTTAATTTTTTCGATTTGACAGTCACACTAAGAGCGCCTGTGCGTGATTTTAGCGATGTTGCCAATTGCTTTTTGTTATAAATAAATATATTAATGGTAATACCGTTCTATATTATTTTTTATGAATAATATGATAACTGATATTTTTATTTCTATAAATGTGGAGTTGTCAAACATAGTAAAAAAACGTACATAACAGGAATGACAGTGGCTGTTTTTTCAATAGCTCCAAGCCAAATGATAAAACCAGAATATAAATGTGTTTATATGAGACTTTTCATTTCAATTATTCAATTTGAGCTGTGTCCAGGCCATTGGAGTCTATGCCGGTCGGCGTAGACAGATATGGGTTGATGTTTTTTGGTGGTGGCGAAGCCGCCACTCTACGACTTAAGTCGTTGCTTCGTTTTCTTGTTACATATTTATGGACTGGTATGCGCAATCGTAAGAAATTATGTAAAAAAAGTTTACGTTTTCATTTCAATTTGAGCTGTGTCCAGGCCGTTGGAGTATATGCCGGCCGGCGTAGACAGGTATGGGTTGTTTTTTGGTGGCGGCGAAGCCGTCACTCTACGACTTAAGTCGTTGCTTCATTTTCTTGTTACATATTTATGGACTGGTATGCGCAATCGCAAGAAATTATGTAAAAAAAGTTTACGTTTTCAATTCAATTTGAGCTGTGTCCAGGCTGTTGGAGTCTATGCCGGTCGGCGTAGCCACGTATGGGATGTTTTTTGGTGGCGGCGAAGCCGCTACTCTACGACTTATCGTAGGGTGGCGGCCGCCACCCTACGATAAGTCGTTGCTTCGTTTTCTTGTTGCATATTTATGGATCAGTATGCGCAATCAATTTTCCATTAACTACTAATTTTATCACAATCCGGCAACGTTGTAATTATTTTTTCTAAATTTGACAGAAACCATCGAGTTTACATGTTTACAGTCGTCAAAATGCAGATTTTTATGGAAATTAAATAATTTTTTTTGCTTAAATAATGCATTTACCGCAATTTTTTTTTAATGTACTATTTAAAATACGCTCTTTCTGATGAAAAATAAATTTCTTTAAAATTTTACTGGACCTAAAGTCGACCGTACCCAAAATCAGTAATAAACTTGTTAGTTTTTTCCTGAAATACTTCGGAATTCATCTCTACAAGGTAATCTCCCGTTTTTTTTCCTTCAAAACCAATAATGTATTTTCTACAAAATCCTCTTCAGAATCAGCAAAAATAAATCGTCTTCCCGTTCTTGTAGGGCTTTTCAGGAACTGCTACCCTTAATAGTACTCGGTAGAGAAGTGTCCATAATCGTAGAAATTTAATGTAATTGCTTACTGAAGTTTTGAAAAGAACTATTATTTATGAAATAAAGTAAAAAACTAATGAGATATCAAAATATAAAATGTCAGAACTGTCAACAATATCAATTATTATTAGCTGATGTTAATGCTAAAAAGTGATGTGTGAAACTGACTGCAATCTGACCAATCAGAAATCTACAGAATTGCCAACTTAAACTCAAATCGCTCCTTCTAGTTTAAAAACAGAGTATAGTTAATCTAAATTTTGAACTAGCGAAAGCAAAGCAGTGTCATCAGCATATAGAAGACATTTTGACGATTAATAGTTTGGGGGGTGGAATATCGTGTATATATGAGGTATAGAAGAGAGGCCAGGACGGAACCTTGTGAGATTATCTTAGCTTTAAGAAATTAAAATAAATTCTAGGTAAGTCGCCGCCGACTAATAGGATTCGATTACAATAAGAACATAGCTACGTCATCACTCGGCGGAATAATTCGATGGCGATCACCACCTACTGGGGTTTTAGGGCTTGTTAATATTAAATATTAACTACATATTACGATAATATCGTTATAATATAATGTTGTAGAATCATCTGTTATGGGGTTTTACATATTATAATTAAAAACTGGTTTTAGGCCCGACACTCACCTTGCACAATTTTTTTTGTGCTAAATATAGATGCCATAATTATTTTTTTCCGTTAACCTAAAATTGCAATTTTGATTTGATCATATAGTCACTCATTATTTATATTTACCTACTTTTTACTGTTTAATTGCAATATTTAATTACTATGTTTGCCAATTGAAAAAAATGTCTTAATAATAATCGTTAACAACATAATTTGCCTGACTAAAAAGATAATACGTCTGTTGAAAAGAAATAAAAACACTATTAATTGGCGGTGAAAATTTATTCAGTGTACAATAAATAATATTTAATTAAAAATAATTGTGTCATTTAGATGGTGAAAATATTCCACCTCAAACGTAATGGAAGTCCATGGATATTTTGATGTAAAGTATTCTATCAGGAAATATAGATCTCAAAATTAATATAGATATTTTAATATCGCACATTCGAGGGAAGCATTTCCAGATAAAAATTATAAATTCATTAATATTCCCTATGTCCTTTAACGTTTCCCATTCCATTTCTTAAAAGCATGGCTGCCAGATAAGGGTCTCCAAATGAAGTTGCACGAGAGGTAGCAATTCCACCTGAAACAAGAAAAAGTTAATAGCAAGGTGGTGTCAAAAGTAACACCCGTATCGACAGAGTATTTTTACAATGGACTGTAATATCGCTCCGTAATTTTCAATCCTATTTACGTAGAAACAATCAATAATGGTTTTGATTTTGTTTAGTTAGGTATTTAGAAGAAAATTGGTATTAAAATTCCTGCGCAAAATCACCCTATAGGATAACTACACATTACTAAATCAAATTTGTCATAAATCAAAATTGTCTTTTAGGGTCTATTTATACTCCCTTAGTATTAGTATTTGTATTAGTATTATGATTAAGCATTAAACTGGGGTGGGATTCCGTTTCACGATTCGACTCGAATTTGATTTTGCTTTTCATAATTCGATCGAATTATGAATCGTATCGAGATCGAGTTACTCGACACAGAACGGAATCCCACCTGGACTAAATATTCAAAAAGGGTATTTATCACATACTTTGATTTTCTTTTACAATACGGAGAATGGTCGCACTACGCAGCTTTCTGAGTGCCTTTTAAAAGGAGATAGAAAACTCCGCCATTTTGAACCCTTATTACGTGTTGCCTACATCTTGGCGCAATATTTTTAATAGGTGCGTTTTAATCATCCGCTTCTGCTTCGGAATTGTCGGTTTTCTTCACATACTTTGATTACTATACGAGACAAGAGAGAGATCCGACACGCCCAACATAGGGCGCGGCCATTTTGAACCCTGTGACACAGTTTACAGCTAAAGAATCAGATCGCTCACTCTGCGTCGGCACTTTTGATCTCAATGTTTCAGTTTGTACACTGTGCAACTCGGATAATACAATATATGACAACCGCCTATAATAAAACAGCAGTCTTCTGCGTATCCTGAATTTGTATCCCTGGAGCGGATGTTATTTTGGAACTTTCAACTGGTCCGAGTGAGCTAACTGATTCTTTAGCAATAAACTGTGACTTTAAAAATAATATTCACTGACACTGACAGCAGCAAGCAAAATATCAGGTGCGTTTTAATCATCCGCTTCTGCTTTCGGAATTGTCGGTTTAGTCGTTTTAACCAGTCAGATTAAAACAAGAAAACCGACAAATCCGAAGCAGAAGCGGATGATTAAAACGCACCTATTAAAAATATTGCGCCAAGATGTAGGCAACACGTAATAAGGGTTCAAAATGGCGGAGTTTTCTATCTCCTTTTAAAAGGCACTCAGAAAGCTGCGCAGTGCGACCATTCTCCGTATAGTAAAAGAAAATCAAAGTATGTGGTTTTCTTGTTTTAATCTGACAGGTTAGAACCACTGAACCGACAATTCCGGAAGCAGAAGCGGATGATTAAAACGCACCTGATATTTTGTTTGCTGCTGTCAGTGTCAGTGAATATTATTTTTGGAGTCACAATTTATTGCTAAAGAATCAGTTAGCTCACTCGGACCAGTTGAAAGTTCAAAAATAACATCCACTTGAGGGATACAAATTCAGGATATGCAGAAGACTGCTGTTTTATTATAGGCGGTTGTCATATATTGGTATTATCTGAGTTGCGCAGTGTTTAAACTGCAACATTGAGATAAAAAGTGCCGACGCAGTGTGAGCGATCTGATTGTTTAGCTATAAACTGTTTCATAGGGTCCAAAATGGCCGCGCCCTATGTTGGGCGTGTCGGACGTCTCTCTTGCCCCGTATCACATACTTTGATAACTATACGAGGGGAACATTGGGGAATTTATTTTTTGATGGCTGGCCGCTGATAAGAGAAAGCAAAGAGGAGAAAAGAAGAAAAAGTTGGATTACGTTAACAAGAACATGGCGTGAATGGTGTGTTGAAAAAAGCGGCATCTTATACTCTTAATTTTGTTATTATTAGGTAAAATAGTCCTTACTTTAGGTATTTTAGAGATTACAAATTGTTATTAGTGATTGCATACATTATGTAAGTAGTAATACAATTTTCGGATGACTATGAGGGCAGCCTGGCTTTAATGCATAATATATGATTAACACCCCGATGAATAGAAGTTTATTGGACAACTTATCCTAGGAAATTATGTATGCATAATGCTCTAACAATGGATATGAAAAGCATAAGTAAGTAACTGATTTATTTTTAACTTGCTTTTCTTGCAATTGTTTTTTCAGCTTCTTCTGGAACTTTATTTCCAGTATTGTAATGTTTATTTTTAATAAATTTTTCATTTAATTATTTTATAATAAAGACTGTTTGTGTTTATTATTATCAATCTGTAATATTATTTTCTATTATAAGACCTATAGAGCCTTCTTTTAGGTATAGGCACAACTACCGTCATAGTAACGTTACATATTGATGTCATAATAACGTTACACATTGATGTCATAATAACGTCACAAAATGACGTCGCTAGCCATGACATAATGACGTGAGTTGAACGATTTTGATGTCATATCTTTGGTGAAAAATGACGTAATGGATGACCAATAAATGACGTCACTGTAACATCAGTGGAGACTAAAGCTGTTTTTTAGCCACCACATTGGTTTAAAATATTTTTTAAACCATATTTAAAGTGACGTCATGAATTAATAGATGGCAAAAATAGGGTGGTTTAAAAATATAACCTGCTGTCATATGACTATGAAGACTAGTCTTCATACATATGACAAAATTTGAAATATTCTGATTTCGATAGTTTTATTTTTTGATGGATTACCGGTTGAAATAAGTTGTAGAAAGGAGAAGCGAAGTTGATTTAAAAAATGAATCTAATTTTTTTTATGATTGTTAAATCAGATGAAGGAAGATGAGTTTGTTTGATAGCGATTTTAATTAAAAATTGGAGTGTTATTATTAAATTGCAATCTAAAACGTTGTTTATAGTTTTATTTTTGATATATTTCTTGCCCATAAACATGGCATATATTTATTCCGTAGCTCCAACAAATAAGCAAATGTCTGACGATCCTTTGCTGTAATTTTTTTTGGGATTTTCCAAAGTTCATCAATTAGAACGTCTTGTGCCAAAGAATGTTTAATTGCTTTTAAATATTTACTATAAAATTCAGAATCTGAAGCAATCTACATAATTATTTTTGCAAAAAACGTATAGGTAACTGATAATTAATCCTTTTACCACATTTCAATTGCATCATTGTTTCATAATCCAGAGTAACCTATAGGTAGATCACATCTTGTTTATAATGTTTACAACATATAACGATAAATATTAATATTATAACATAATGTATGAATATGAATCACATAATATATGTATGATAATAAAAATTAACAAAACGTCAAATATATCAAAATTTTCAAAGAATGGAACAGAGTAAAACAACATACAACAGCCAAAATCAGAATCTCTTATGTGTCAACCGTTATTGAACCATATGCTTCCGACTGGTTCAAAAATTCTAGCTTTGGTTTAAAATATTTCGTACGTGACGTCATAGTTGCATCGCTAAATTTTAAACGGTTTAAAAAAGTCGAAAATATTTTAAACCAAACACTCGCTAAAAAATACCTCAATACATAAATTGACTATTAGAGCTATAGACAATTCTTAAAGTTAGAAACGGTAATGTTAATTCAGAACAAGTAAAGTTGCACATTGGTGTGATTTTTCAAGCACGTTTTGAATCATTACTGTCATATGCAAAATTCAAATACCCTCATGAGATTATGTTTCCTCAAATCATTAGCAAATCAAATATTCCTTCACATTTTTCTGGAAAAAATTAAGAAATCGATAGTAAAACATAAAAAGAATGCCAGTTTAAAATTATTAAAATGGGGGTGGGTGGCTCAGTGGTAGAGTCTCTGCCCGCGGATTCAAGGGTCCCAGGTTCGAATCCCACCGTTGGCCGGGATTTTTTTACCAATACGCCATAAAATTGTGACGAAATGTTAGTTCCACTTACAGATAATTATTATAACCAAACTTTTAATAAGATTTGACATATCGTCGGTCTAAAGCACACTTATCGTATCTTCAAAAACCCATTTTGTGACAATCGCAAATTTAAACTTCAGCGAGGTGTACTAGAAGTGTAATTAAATGCCTTAATTCTCAGTTTTAAATTTGAATTTATTGTAGTTTGGTTGGTGTTGGAGCTACAATGTTTGTGCACAAAAAAAGAAGACTAAAATGCGAATTGGTACCAAGATCGTTATAACATTAAATTTGGAGTTACAATATGTGTGCTTTAGATCGACGATATTACTTTTTTACTGTTTTTATTTTTTTGTTAAATATCGTTTGCAGGTCATAAATGGTTATTTAACGGACAAGTGTATTAATAAGGGTGATTAACAATCGAAATAATTTAACGCGCTGGCTCTGCTCGCGCGTTAATGTTCGACTGTACTTTTCAAAAATAAAGATATTTTACTTTTAAGAAAATAAATAATGACACAATGAGATAGTATTAATACATCTTGATTTCAAATGTATATGTATGTTTGGTTGCCTACACCATAGGTAACTGTCAATATAAGTATATAATAATAGCGATGTACGTTGGGTTGCATAGGGGCCATTAATCAACGATTTTGAGTGCCTTAAAATACATCATAAATGGTCGGTCGACGGAAATTAGTAGTTTAAAGGAATGTAATTGATTACTTAATGATTATATATTTGATGCATATTATCTACTTACTCTAGAAAATTATTCAAAAAAGTTTAAATACAATATAATTTAGGTAAACAAAACGAACAAGACGCACTTAAAAAAATAATGTCACTGTAATTGTGGTTCCACTAATTACGTCATCACTAATTTATCGTGCCTATTTGCGATTCAAGCTAAGTGATACGCCCTCTGGAGGAAATTTGTAGAAGGTCCGTATAAGTAGGATATCGTTCGGTGTTGCCAGAAGTAGCAAAACTTCGCTACGTCGTCGGATTTTAGCTCTTGAAGAAGTGGATAATACCTTTTATTTAAAAATCAAAATTTGTGTGTGGTAATATGTAATCATACTCTATATTTATTTAAGGATTTTTTTATAAAACCGATTTATTATA